TGTAAGTCCCACACTGGGTGGGGGAATTGAGCCTGCAACCTGGGCATGTATCCTAACCTGGAATCGAACCCATGACCTTCTGGTTCATAGGTCGACGCTCAACCACTGAGCCACACCGGCTGAACCTGACTCTCCCTCTTACCAGCTGTGTGATCTGGGCAAGTTACTTAACATCTCTGAGCCTCAGCATCCTCCTCTCCAACATGGAAATGATAATGCTTATTCCTTAGACTTCCAGTGAGGATCAAATAAAATAGAGTATGTAAAGTGCCTGGCACATATCGGTACCCAGGTAAGAGAAACAACATTCATCCTTCCTTAATTCATTTCATAAAACATTTCAAGATCTTTCCAGGATCCTGAGAGTCCACACCCCACCTTATCCCATCCAGATCAGAACACTGTCAGCTCTCCCCTGGACCACTGCCACTGCCTTCTACCTAATCTCCTCCTGACACTCTCCCTCTACTTTAATCCCTGCTCCCCACAGTAGCCAGACTGATCTTTCTAATCTGAAGAATCTGATTATATCACTCACTCAACACCCTTCAGTAGTTTCTAATTGCCTTCGGGATAAATTATACATTCCTTGTCACAGCCCATAAGTCACTGCAAGCTAGTCTTTAGCACATGCTGTTCCCTTTGCCTTAAATAATCTCCCTCCCTTCCCTCTCTCCTCCACCTCTGGTGGCCATCCTCTTCACCTCGCCATCCTTCCATCAGGGCTTAACTTAAATGTCACCTCTTCCGGAAGGCTTCCCATGACCCCCTGCCTCCAGATGAATGGAGGCGACACAGCTAAGTGCCCCTACAGCACCCCACACATTCCCAAGCAGCTTACCTGTCAACCTAGACAGCAATCGCTTGTTTAACTGTCCAGGTTCCTGCCTTACACTGTAAGTCCCAGGAGGTCACAAGTCTTTTCACCATCATCACTGTGTCCTGTGATAGTAAGCGTGTGGTGGACAGTCGCTTACTATGGGTTTCTAGAATGGGTGGAAGATGGATGAATGAGTGGATAGATAGATGGAACAAAGACATCTCCCCTGTGAAGTCTTCCTGGATTCTTCCAGCCAGGGAGGTTTTTCATTTGTGCTTCCTAACACCCATGACAAACCTCTACCCAAGACTTAGTGTCCTCGCTATATATTGGGAAAGTAAGTGTGCCTACCTCATGGAGTTATTGACATTAAGTGACAGAAGCCTTGTAGTCGTTTTAAGTCCATGCTAACAATAAGCTGCTACATTTAAATGGGATAATCCACATACAGTGCTTTAGAGCAATACCATGCAGTTAGTAAGTGCTCAAAAAGTATTCGCTGCAATAATCATCATAGCTTCCTTCATGTCTTCCTTCCCGTGATCCCTGCCAAAGCGTGAGCTCCTCGGGGGCACTGCTTACGTCTAACTTATTTTTGGACGCATCACCACTACCACCTGGCAATGCCTCGCTGGGTGTTTTCAGTAAATGTTTACTGAATGAACAAATGAATGCAGATTGGCCAGCTGACGAGTCAGGGCGAAGCACCCCCTCTCATCATTCACAAACCCAGACACACAACACCCACACAAACACAGTCTCTAATGCATTCGCACCCACTCACGTTCATTCCAAGAACCCCAAAATACCACGGAGCGGCCACCCAGGTTCCTAAGATCAGCCGTGCATACATGCAGGACTCACCCACTTTCTTGCACCCTCCACACACCACCGAAATGACCAACAGCCCTCCCCACGCCTCCAATGATGGGGCTGCAGGAGTGAGGGAGCTGCCACTCAGGAGCTGCCTTCAGTGCCCAGCTCTGGTGCATCCCAGTTACCGACAGTGCTGCCCTCCCCTCCCAGGGCTCCCCTCTCTCCCTTTCTGAAGACCTGGACCCCAGCCTCAGCAGGTGGGTGAGGAAGAGGGTTTCGAGCCAGAACTCCAGGGTTCCTTCCTCACTCATCCAGTCCTGTCTCTGAACCTGGAAGCACAGTCCATGGCCCTCCTCTCCCGGTGCCAAGCACAGTGATCTGTGAGGAGAAGGCAGGGCCAGCAGAGCCACGGCCTGAGGGGGTGGAAGAGCCATCTTCGCCTTGACGTGGGATGGTTTTCTCAGCCACCATTCACTGGGCAAATGACATGATTCCCAGTCCCGAGCTTTCCATTCGGTCCATCTCATGTCATCCTCACAACCCTTCCTCCAGGGGACTCTGCAGGTCAACCGACCAGCCCCAAATCACCAGCTGGGATTGGTATATAGAATCAGGTCTCTGGTTCTTGAATCTTCGGAGCCAGATTCAGAGAATTGGGGGGGGGGGGGGGGGGAGAAAGGGGGAAGGGTGCCAGTGCTGGGGTCCTCAGATATTAAGCTGGGAGAGCCTCGCCCCGCCCCCATCAGCCAGGTCCTCATCTCCTCCAGGAAAGGGGCCCTGGACGCTGCCGGGGCGGGGGTTCGCCTCCTTCTTCGGGGCCGGGCGGGGCCTGGCGAGCCGGCGGGTGGCGCGGGCCGGTGGCCCAGGCTCACAGGCCAAGATGGCTGTTAATTAAAGTGCTGGCACTCGCTCCTCTGCAAAGTTTGAAGCCGTTATTTTCCACTCCAGCGAAGCGGGGAGAATCCGGCTGGGCTGACAGAGACGCCACCGCGCGCCGGGGGAGCGGGCGTCCTCGGGGGCGGCGGGAGGGGAGTGGGCGCATCGGCCGCGTGGGCGGCGCGGGTGGTGGGCGCTCCCCCTCCTCGGCCGCAGCTCTCCGGGCGGTGCTGGCCGGGCTGCGGGGCCAGCGAGTCCCGGCCGCAGGGCGGAGGAGGGACCCGTTTGCCTGCGAACTGGGGGGCGGGGAATACAAATCCTACGCTGATGGCCGCGCACTGGCCCCTCGGATCCCCAGCCGGCTAGCTCTTCGGGAAGTCATGCAGGGGGAGCCCCGCAGGGGGACAGGAGGCCGGAGTGACAGCCTTGAGCTCAGGACTCCTCTTCCTGAGCCTGGAGCACCCGCTGCTGGGAGCACCCCCTCCAACTGCGTCTGACGCTGTCCTCCCTTTGGGCAGGGGATAGACTTAATGATGGGCGTGGAGGCTGCAGGAGCGTGGGGCCAGGCTGCGGGTTTGGATCCCGACTGGACCCCTTAGGAGTTGTGTGACTTTGGGCAGATCTCTTACCTTGCCAAAGCTTCTGTGAAAGGAGAAATGAGGATGGGTCTTACCTCTGTGGATTGGTGTGAGGACCAAGTGTGGCCGCATGCCTAAAGCATTCAGCACAGGGCCTGGCACACGCGTGGTATTGACTGGGTTGTTTTGGCTGCCTTCTTTGGGGGGTAGGGGGGTGTCACCCTAACCTGGGGTCAGCCATTGGGAGGTCCTCTTTCACAGCCCCCACGTGGTGTCCCGCAGCCCCTTTCAGCCTCCCAGCTCTGGGCGGGGTTAGGCAACCTCAGCCTGGCTAGAGAGAGCCCGGACCTATCCTAAGGACCCGGTGACAGGTCGGCAGGCGGAGAGAGTGGCCTGGGAAGGGAACTTGCAGGAGAAAGGAGAGAGGCTGGAGAGTGACCGGTAGCAGAGCCTCCCTGGTGGGCTGGGCGAAGCAGGGTGGAGGAGGAGAGGTGGAGCAGCACAGCAAGCTGGGCCTCCAATGATGTGACAAGTGTTTTTATGGAAGCAGACACATTTCAGTTTATGCAACCTAAACACTTTGCTGCTCTCGAGGAAGAGGGTTGTCTCCTACAACCTGACGGGGAGAAGCTTTAGGGGGCTGCTGAGAAGGCTGGGGTGGGGGGGAGGTGCGAGGGGCTGGGTGAGCTCAACCTCTTCTCTTGAACGCTGGAAAAGGGGACGTATTTGTAGTGGTCAGAATGGAGAGGTGATCTAGGGTCCCCAGTTCTTCCTCCCTAAAAAGAGAAGGAAAATGCTCAGAGGAAGATAAAGACGCTCCTCTCCCCCAGGATAAAGCAGCCTGGTCTGGCCTGGAGGCCAGTGAGAAAGGGTCAGAGGAGGGGAGCAGTGGGTGAAGGCGTTTGCCCCCTCCCCCCCCCCAGGTGAAGGAAGGTCCCGGATCCGCCAGGGGCCAGGAAAGAGAAGGGGTGGCTGCTGGCAGCACTCAGGATCCCGCTGGGCACCCTGACAGGCACCCAATTTCCCCAGGACCTCCCAGATCTTCCGGATGGGTGGTAGCGGAATCCAGTGTGCAGGATGGCCCCCTCCCCATCCTCATCTTTCTCCCCCGACATAACTCTCTTTCTTGTCCCTTCTGTTTCCTTCTCCGTCCTCCCCTCAATCTATTTCTTTGCCCTCAACAGACCCGGCAACCGCCCCCCTTGCCTCTGCCCCTGCGGTCCGTGGTCCCTCTGCCTCTTTCCGTCCCTCTCAATTTTCCCCGTAACCGACCCTCGAGACCTCTCTTCTCCGTCCCCCTCGGCTCTAACTCTCCAGTGGCCCTTTCCTCCATTCGCCCTTTGGTCCCTGCTCGCCCCTTCCTTGCAGGAGCCTCTTCTCACCCTTTCACCCCCTCCTCCTCTGGCTCCCCCAGACTCCCCCTGCCTCTCTAGGCTCCGTTCCTCCCCCCGCGGCCCCGCCCCACAGCCCCGCCCCTCGAGATGGGCGGAGCCTGCTCGCCCGAAGACCAATCAGGTGCCGGTCGCGCCTTAAGCCCCACCCACCGCCGGCGCTGAGAGCCGCGAAGGGGGCGGGGCGGGGCGGGGCGGAGGGGGCGGCGGCCCCGCGCGGGGAGGAGGCGGGAGCGCGGGGCTGCAGGCTGCGGCCGCCGCGCTCAGTCCGGCCGCTCCGCGGGAGGCAGGCGCGAGGCAGGACCCGGCGGCCAGGCTCGGCGGCGCCTCCAGCGCAGCGCGGTGCCCGGGTCCGGCCCCATGCCCGCAGCCCCGCCGGACCGCCCTTGAGCGCGGGCGCCCCGCCCGCGCCCCCCGCCCGCCGGCACCATTGCCCCGACGGCGCGGCCCGGCGGCCCGGCGCTCCCGAGGCTCCGCGCCGGCCGGAAGACGCTGCTGGCGGCCGCGGCGGGCGTGGTGATGCTGCTGGTGCTGGTGGTGCTCATCCCCGTGCTGGTGAGCTCGGGCGGCCCTGACGGCCACTATGAGATGCTCGGGACCTGCCGCATGGTGTGCGACCCCTACCCCGGCCGGGGCCCCGGCGCCCGCGCGCGGCCCGACGGCGGGGACGCGCTGAGCGAGCAGAGCGGCGCGCCCCCGCCCTCCACGCTGGTGCAGGGCCCCCAGGGGAAGCCGGGCCGCACGGGCAAGCCCGGACCGCCCGGGCCTCCCGGAGACCCGGGTCCTCCGGGCCCGGTAGGGCCGCCGGGGGAGAAGGGCGAGCCGGGCAAGACCGGGCCTCCCGGGCTGCCGGGCGCGGGGGGCAGCGGCGCCATCAGCACCGCCACCTACACCACGGTGCCGCGCGTGGCCTTCTACGCCGGCCTCAAGAACCCGCACGAGGGCTACGAGGTGCTCAAGTTCGACGACGTGGTCACCAACCTCGGCAACAACTACGACGCTGCCAGCGGCAAGTTCACGTGCAACATCCCCGGCACCTACTTTTTCACCTACCACGTCCTCATGCGCGGCGGCGACGGCACCAGCATGTGGGCTGACCTCTGCAAGAACGGCCAGGTGGGCCTGGGGCGCCCGGGGCGGCCTGGGGGCGGGGAACGCTGGGAGCCTGGGGCATGTGGGTGTCGGGTCCGAGTCGTTGGGCGCAGGTGCAAACCCTCCAGTGGCCCGGCTTAAGGAAGACGGTCGCCCCCGGCTGGCACCTCTAACTCCTCGATTCCTAGGCGCCGCTTCCAAAGGCAGACGCTGCTGGGCACCCGCGGCGTGGAAACGGGGGAGATGAATGGAACGGGAGGGAGCGCGGGGCTCCCGGGCGCGAGGGCCGGCCCTTGGGGAGCGGCCTCGGAGAGCTGGGAGCCTGGCTGACACCGCGGGTGATGAGTGGGGGGCCGGGCGGGAGGAGGCAGCCTCGGCGCCTGCGGGCTCCCAGGTGCACCGCTATGCGCGCTCGCCGGGAAGGCGAGCTGTGGATGCTCCGGGCTCCGAGGCAAAGGGAGCCAGGCGCGCAGAGCCTTAACGGCAATAAATCCCCGGCCCTTAGGAAGGGCCCACAGGGCCGATCTGACACCCTTAGCAAAACGCGGGACTGCGCGGCCCCTTGGCACTAAGAGTTCCCAGGGCAAGAAAGGGAGGGTGGGGAGGGAGGCGGGGCAAAGAGGTGGAAACTCTCCCTCCTCTAGGTCTTCCACCTGCAAGTCTGATTCCTGGGGTGTATGTGTGGAGGGGGCGGGGGGGGGGGGGAGAAGGGGTAATGGTGGGGTCTCTTCGTACCATGTCTCCATCCCAAAGATCGGAGCTGGCAGGCATCAAGCATGCAGAGTCTCTGGACCTCGGTGCATGGTGCTCTTGTTGGGACTGCTGCCCCAGGACCACAGTTTTGCTCGTCACCCTTCCCTTTAGATAGCCCCTCTCTTCCCAGTGCTCACAGACTACTAAGGTCTGGGGCTGGTCAGGCCAAGCATTTCTGTGGGAGCGGAGGACCTGCTCAGGCCAGAGCTAGAGCTGGTCTGGTGGGAGCTGGGAAGGACTCTCCTTCAACTGAGACCCGAGACTGTTGGGACCCCTCCCACGACAGCACTGTCCTGAGGAAGACTTGGCCTGGGGGTGGGAGTCAGCAGAAAGCTGACTGACCAGGTGCTTGTAAGTAGCCACCCCCCCACACACACACACATACATACACACACACAAACACACACATCTTCTCTCCTCACTGCCTGCTTCTCTTTCCGGTGTCCGCCTCTCCCTGCCTCTTTCTTCTATCTCTCTGCCTCTGGAGTCTGACTCTGTTGTGTCTACCAGTCCTATCTGTCTCTCCCCAGGTCGCTGGCCTCCCTCTCCTGGGTGTAACTCCACGCCCCCTCTCTATTCTTTGGGAGTCTCTCTCCCGCTTTGTGTCTGCCAGGCTCCCTGTGTCTCTCCTCTTTGTCCTTGGTTCCTAACCAAAAGGGAGGCCCCGGTATCTTGTGAGGGCTCGTTCTGCAGACAGCTCCACGATTCCCCTTATTAATCACCAATAAGGGAAGCAGCAATGTCACCTTCATCAATGGAATTTCTTCCTTTCCCAAAGAAAGTTTGGGCCGGCATCAAGCTAAGGGTTCAGAGGGATCAGGGCCCAACTTGTCTGGAGAGAGAAGCGGTCACCAGACCACAAGTGGGCCCTGGCCCCTGCACCGCCTCAGGAGGTTGCAGCGGAGCCCTGAGATGGGGCCAGAGGAGGCCCCAAAGACGGAGTGTGCTTGGGCCAGGGGTACTTGCTTCAATAATTGCGAGATGAGCCCTAGCAAGTTTGCCTCAGTGGATAGAATGTCAGGCCTCGGACTAAAGGGTCCTGGGTTTGATTCAAGGGCATATACCTCGGTTGCAGATTCCCCAACCCTGGTTGGAGTGTGTGCAGAGGCAACCAACCTCTCTCACATCGATGTTTCTCTTTGTCTCTTTTTCTCTAAAATTCAATGGAAAATACACCGTTAGGTGAGGATTAACAAAAAAAGCAAAACAAGAAAAAAGAAATTAAGTGGGAGGTGAAACGGACTCAGAAGTCTCTTCTTTCACCTCCAGCCGGGACAGGGGATTGGCAGAGCCTGATGAGGAGGTGGGACCATAAACTAGCAGAAGGAAGGAGGTGGAATTTCAAAGTCCCAGCATTTTAACAGTCACTCGGACCATTTACTAACCCACCTTCCAAAACAAGGCACATAGTGGGGCACCTTCTTGGTGAACTCTCCTTCCAGATTACCCAAGAGACTCATTCAATCTCACTAATCATCCCACATAGCATTAGTTTGGAGCCCCTACTGGGAGCCCCTCCTAGGAAGCTTGGTTCTAGGGGCTCAATCTGCTTGCTCTCCAAGACCTCATGGCCTGTGCAGGGGAGACAGCAGTAACCACACAGTAACACGCCCCAGGGGTTACTGAGGGAGGGGAGGGCTGGGAGCTCCTGTCCCAAAATGTCTTGGCTGGTGGAAGTGATTCAGTGGAACCTGAGGCCCAGTTCAGACCAACCTGGTTGGAGCAGAGGATGGTGAGCCTGGGTCCCCAAGGTGAAGGGACATGTCTCGAGAGAAAATAAAAAAGTCAAGTGTAGGGAATGACTCAGAGATGGAAGAGGACAGTCAAGTGAGCCGAGGAAAATGTGACGGGGCTGGTCATTGGAAGGGAACAAAAGAGGGGAGCTTGCACCCCTTGTGCCTTTAAGACCAGGGGCAACCACGGGCTCTATTCTCTTCTTTCCGGCTTTCTCTCTACACAGAGATTTTCAGAATTTCTTCAGGGAGGCAGAGCTGCATCTAGGCCTCGGCCCTTCCCTGGGCAAGATGGAGAGGGGGGAAGTCACCACTGTCCTGCCTGGTGCTGAAGCTGCCCATCTGTCCTTGTCTAGGCCCCATGGGCCCCTCTCCCCAGGGGTAGCTTTGAGTCTCCAAGCTCTGGTCACTAGGACATGGGGAGCTGAGGAGCCTGAGAAAGAGGCTCTAGGTTGGAGCTGGTATCCTGGGGAGGTGAGCACTTTGCAGCTGCCTCTAAGATCCTCGGTTCAGGGGAGAACATGAAGTTGATAAACTGGGATGGGGGAGATGGGGCTGTGTGGGGACAGGCTGGGGAAGGGGAGGATTACAGACGAGCAGGGGCTTGGATGAGAGCCTGAGGTGAGATGTGGTAGGGCAGATAGGTTGAGGGCTGTGGTATGAAGACCTAGCTGGAGATCAACCTCTTGGCTGGTGATGGGAGAGGGGCCCCTAGCTATCCTCTCTGGCTTCTAATTAATGCCTTTCGGACAGCACTGAGCCCAGTGGCTGGCACAGTAGGGACCCAATCAATGTGTGGCTCCTGCAGGCAAGGCTAACTATCTATGGGAGGCACACCTCCCAGCATTGACATGGGGACGAGGACATATTTCCTGGGTTCTCCTCCCACCCCTTCCAGGCCCTTGGGCAAACCATTGCCTCAGTTTCCCTTCCTGGCAGCCCTTGAAGAGGTGACTATACAGCGCCCCCTCCTGACAAGTCACAGACGTGCTTTTCTGCTTCCATGGCAACCTCAAGTCCCCAAACTTTCCCGGCCCCAGGAGAAGCTATATGCCTCCACTGTTCCGTTCTTGGGCAGATTCAGGACCCCTGGGTTCCGTTCTGGGATCCCTCACCATCTAGGCATGGAAGGGCATAAATTCTCCCTGCGTCCATGGATAATTAGGATAATCACAGCAACAATCATGGTGATGAATAAATAATAAATATAAGCATAACAGTTCTGATGCCTGTCGCATCATCAGGAGGTTCCTGATGACAGATGACTGTACTCTAATGGGTTTTGCTATTAACAAGCACACTGTTTTAATGAGTTAAGGCCAAATTAATCTGGGTAATAAAAATAATTGTTATTAGTCGTAATTTATTAGCCACGATAATGAAATGCATGCATAACAATAAATACTACCAGGATTAGGGCCCAGGGAACAATACGGAAGTTGGCTGCTTGCTGTAAGCTCTTCCCTAGTAGCTCAACGCCCCAACAAAATTAAAAGAAAAAAAATTTATTTTTTTTTTTAACCATCATCAGGCTTTTTTTTTTATATATATAAAGGTGGCAGTGGTGAGGCAGGATTTTCTCATCTATTTTCTAAACAGAGAAACTGAGCTTGTTGACAAACAAGGTCTCTCCCTTATGTGACTGGCCCCCACCTTTCAGCGGACCGTGAGTTTTTCCAGCAAGATCCCCCAAGCTGTTCCTTCCCAGGTTGGAGGAGAAGAGGCTGAGCCGTTGAGCGGGAAGAAGATGCTGGAAGGTTCTGGGTTTTAAAGGGCCTCCTCTTGCAGTGTGGCTGCTGAGTCAGCGGCTCTAGCACAGCGGACTCGAAGCCCTAACACCCCCCCTCCCCCCCAAGGATGGGCTCCTCCCCTAGTTGGGGTTGGTCCAGCCTGGACTATCAGCCCACGGGGGAGCTGCTCTCAGGACAGGGGCAGGATGGCGTGGGCTGTTGAGGAGCCTGGCTGAGTGGACCCTCTCAGAGCCTCCCCCCAAGACATGCCAGAACTTTGGAGATAGTTCTTCTCTTCCCATGGGTCACCCAGGACGTCCTGGAGAGGCCCCAGGTCCTGTGGCTCAGGCCTCCTGGGGCCTCAGCTGTGGAAAAGGTATGTCTGGAGGGAATGGTTCCACCGCCTCCCGCCCTCAGTGTCTTACGATGACAGTCGGAGCCTGCAGAAGCGATGGTGGCAGGCTTCAGACTCAAATGCTGGTGCTCCCTTGCCTCATCGTCCTACCATCCCTCCCCTCCTCCATCAAAACAAGAGCCAGCAAGTAGATCGGATCGGACTGAGGATCACAGCGTGGTGTAAGGATTCCCTTCTTTCCACCTACTTCCTTTCTCCCACCATGGGGTGAAATGGAGTCCGAAATTCTCTCTGAGCCCTGGCCCGTGTGGCTCAGTTCGTAGGAGCATTGCCTTGTGCACCAAAGGGTCATGGGTTCCATTCCTGGCCAGGGCACTGGCCCAGGTTGTGGATCTGGGAGATGTTTCTCTCACATTGACTTTCTCTCTCTCTCTCTCTCTCTCTCTCTCTCTCTCTCTCTCTCTCTCCCCCCCCCCCCCGCCTCTCTTTAAAATCAATAAAAATATATCCCTGGGTACATATCCTCAGGTGAGGATTAAAAAATAAGAAGAAGGAAATCCTTTCCGAGTGGGGTGATAATCACAGGTCTAGCTACAGCTCCTCGGAGGCAGGTGTGCAGGCCTGATCCGAGCCTTGGGGGCGGAAAGAGTGACCAGACCTTCCATCCCCCTGCTCCGGTGTGACAGGCTCCAGAATGAGCTTCAGACAACGAGTCCGAATGGCAGGTCCCGGTTCTAGGGTGGTTGCTTGTATGGAACCAACGTGCGCCCTGTGTCCATCTTCCAACGTGAGAGCAGGTGGAGGTAGCTGAAAAGGAAGGCGATCTTTGTTATAGTTAAAGCAGAGATGAAGGACTAATGAGGGAGAAGGGCCCTCTATCTTTGGGGGGTCCAGAGAATTCCTCTCTGCAAGAGGGGGTTCCAGGTCGGGCCCTCCTGGAGGCATGGCTGAGGCCCTCTGCAGGCCACATGGTAAGCCCTAAAGAAGTGAAGGAAGCAGACTCTACCTTGACTCCCAGTTCAGACCCAGATTAGCCCCTGGAGATCCCGGGCTCCTCTGTAATCCCCTAAAACACACATTCCGATTGGAAAGGAGGGTAGGGATGATGGGAGAGAAGCAGGCTCAGAGCCCCCTGGTGGGGCAGGAAGTGGAACTTTTCGGGCCTCCAGATCCTCTGATGTGGCTGTTTTACCTCTGACAGTTCCCCCCACCCCATCCTTGATCCCACTTCTCTCCCACCTCCCCTCTGGCACACACCCCTACTCTCCCACCCCCCGCAGGTGCGGGCCAGCGCCATTGCGCAGGACGCAGACCAGAACTACGACTACGCCAGCAACAGCGTGATCCTGCACCTGGACGCGGGCGACGAGGTCTTCATCAAACTCGACGGGGGCAAAGCGCACGGTGGCAACAGCAACAAATACAGCACGTTCTCTGGCTTCATCATCTACTCTGATTAGGCTCCCCGCGTCCCTGGTTACACCCCGGCCTCCTTGTCCTGCCGGACGATGGATGACCCGTCCCCCATTCTCCTCCTTGCTGCCCAACCCGGCTGCACGCCCCGTCCTGGCTGCAGCCCGCTCTGTATATTTGTACAATAGGACTGTTTATTGCCCACCCTTCCCACCAGCCCGCCCAAGCCTGGGGACCAGTCTGGTCCCGCAGAGTCGCTTCCTGAGTTCCAGATGCGCTGCCCTCCAGCTCGGCTCTGGCTCCGAGAGTGGTGCCACCTGGGGAAGGGGTGGGATGGGGACTGGATAGCTTCCCAGCACCCCTTAAAGCCCTACCCCCCGCCGCTCCCTGTCTGACCAAAGCTACAATAAAAGCACTTCCACCCCGCTGGGTTTCCGTCTGTGCCCTGGGGAGGAGCTGCAGGAGGTTAGGATCCTGTCCTCCTCCAGACTGGGGAGGGGTCTGCTGGAAGCGGCCCCTGGATCTGGGGAAAGACAGGTGCCAGAGTCAGAGGAGGTGGGCCAAGGGCCAGTGCCCACCGCAATGGGCCTGAGCAGCTGCCATGGGAAGCCACCGGTTATATCACCATCCTCCATGTTGGATAAGCTCCAGTTTTCCCTCCTTGAAAGTGGCATCAGCATTCCAAAGGCACAGCAAGGTTTAAACCTGGACACTAGGTTCTCACCCAGCGCCACCACAGGTGACCTTGGGCAAGTCACTCCTCTCTGACTCGGTTCTGGGTTAGTGACCACCTTCACACTAAAACGTGGTTGACCTTGGCCCGAGCACTTCACCTCTGGGCCTCAGTTTTTTCATCTATGAAAATGTAGGTGACCCCCCTCACTTGACTGAGAGACGGTTTTTATTATTTATACATCACTTTAAAGTTTGCAGAAACGCTTCCAGGTATGTCACTCCGGTCTCCCAAGAGCCCTGGGCGGCTGAGCGAGTAGATGTAATTCTTCCAGCGAGGTTAACTAGCTTATTGCGATGGTCACTACGTTCTGCGGTCCTACGTGTATCTAAGAAGCCCTGCTCCTTGGAGACAGCACACCGAGTCTCTTCACCCCGTCACTACCTCCTTCACTTCCTGTAATGGATCACGGCAGTCACACAGTCGGGGCATTCCTAAATAATAGTAGCTAATATTTTGAGAGCACCCACTTTATATAAGATATTATACCATATAGGAACTGTATGGATATCTTATGGGTGTGTGTGTAGGGGGGCGGGGATGGATGATCAGGAAATGCTCTCATGCCCTTTAATGGATATTGTTATTTTTTTCTGAAATGAGGAAACTAAGGCTCAGGGAGGCTAAATTAATGTGCTAAGGTCGCAGAGCTAGGAAGAAGCAAATGCCAGCATCTGAACCAAATGCTCTTACCTGGTACCCCATATTTCACAGAGGTCAGGGATCTCCAGAGCAAAACTGAGGAAGGATGACATTGAGGCAGCTCAGCCACCCTCCCCATCATGTTCAGCCCTCCCATTCCCACTGCCCCTGCCCTGCAGAAGCGTGGTGTATTTACAAGCATTTGCCCTGGGCAGCAGCCGTGGGGTAAGCTTTCTGGAGAATCCCAAGGCTCTACATTGAGGGGAAGGTCCCATCTGGCTTCTCCCACCCCCCATCCCGCAGGCTGGCTCAGCTGGAGAGACAGGAAGGAGGGGGTGGGCCCCCTTCCAGTCAGGTCCCATGTATAGACCCTTGTCAGAGCTGGCAGACTTGAATGACTTTCTTTATCCTCCCTTCACGCCCTTGCTTCCCAGCTGTGGCCATTTAATAAAATTAGCTTAATACTTGTTCCTTCCCTGTGGGGTCTGGAGATTGAAATCCGCAGGTCCCACAAACCCAATAAAACCCCTGGCAGATCTGGCTGGAATGAGAGTTTCCTTGGGAAGACTGATTAGATTAGACGGCACTCCTCCCCACCCAGCCCCCAGTTCTGTCCACAGCCCCCCTGTGATGTTTTTAATGGCCACTTTGGCCCATAATTAGCCAGCCACCACACCTGGGGGCACCCCACTCCTCCCCAGAGACCACAGGCACTGGCCTAGGACCTCTGCCACCATAAAAAGCATGCTAATCATTTCTGCAGGGAGTGTCTGGCTGGCTGGCTAGCTTTTTTTCCTTTCCAACAACTGGACGATCCTCATGTCGTTCTGAGAGGTGAGCTTGAAGTCTCCCATTTGCAGATGAGGAAATCACAGTCTGAAGAAGATTCGTGACTTACCCATGGTCATGCAGCAAGTTTGTGATCAGCTGGACCTGGACTGAAGCCAAGGGCTGTCTCTTTTCTTTGTGGGCACCAGGAGGGTCCGGCAGTACCAGCCGTAGGCTGCTTGTCACTGGGGCATCATCGCAGCTGCAGAGGGACCTGTTGGGATGATGTCTTCCCCATCAGACAGGGACTCTCCAAGGGCAAAGTCTGGTTTTTCTCCGCAGACTTGGGATGCCCAAGGTCAAGGACTGTGTCTCCACCATCAGCATGGGAAGCTTCCTGAAGGCAAGACCTGTGTCTCCTCCATCAGACTGGGGATCCTCGAGGACGGTGTTTTGAGTGAGTTGAGGGCAAGGTGACTATCTCCACTGAGACTAGGGGGTTGGGGCCTTCCTGGATGCAGAGACTGTGGTTCCTGTCTCAGTGGCTCTGGGGGTAGACACTGTACTTTTTCTGTTAAACTAGGGCTTTCTGAGACCAGACTCGGGGGCTCCAGAGTCCTCAAAGGACAGCGCCTGTCTCCTAGTCCAACTGGGGGCTCTCTGAGGGCAGGAGCTGTGTCTCCCTCTCAGACAGGAAGTTCCCTGAAAGCAGGACCTGTGTCTCCCCTGCTCCTCAGTCCGGGGCTTTGCTGGCACAGGAACATTCTAGAGCACAGGGCTACCTGAATGGCAGAAAGGAGGGTTGGCCAGGCAGAATGGAGGAAGGAAGGAAGAAGCCTCCCCAGATTGCCTCCATTTTAGGAAGATGTGTGGTTAATTTATGGATAATGTCTCTCCCAGGGGCGTGTGAGGATGGGGGTGCCCCTGGAGCTCACCCACGCAAAGAGTGCCAGGCCATCCTGCGCTCAGGCAGTTGCCAGCCCTGGGGCTGGTGCTGCCTTGGTTTCTGGGGTCCCGGAGACCCGAGGGGTGTGGGAGCCCACCGATGGGGACTGACTGCCCTAATTGGATGACTTTGCAGGAAAGCGGGGCAGGTGTGCTCCACTCTCCCCTCTTCAGCTCGCTACAAACACATCTACCACGGCGAGGTCTAGGGGTTAATTGCCTCCTGCTCACTCCTGGTAACCAATATTTCATTTACTGCTCGGAGGGGGAGCTGCCCGGAGATCAATCCCGGACACGCGTCCGGGAGGCAGGGGAGCTGTTTCTAGAAGGATCTCTGAGCACCGGAAGAGGAGGCAGGAGGCAAAGACCCAGAGAAGGCGGCCAATTGCTCAAGATGACTCGGGGCCTCACCCATGTCCTTGACTGACAACAGCTCCAGGATCGTCAGGGGCTGAGGGGAAGTCAGAAGGGTCCAGAGGCCGCATTCTCCCAGCTGGCAATGCTGTTTCCTGCCCTGGCTCCTTATGCATGTATTTATCTGGGTGCCCCCACAAGCCAGAGCAGGTTAGATGCTGTTAACAAGGTTATTTTCACAAGCAATGAAGATGTGTTTGAAAAGCGGAAGTGGAAGTGTGAGCTCTTCACTCCCTTCCAGGTAACAAATCTTCAAATCCTACAAATGAGGTGATAATAAAGTGGAAGTGAGAAGTCCACACATGCTTGGAACTGGGAGGGGCTACAGAGAGGAGCAGCTGGGGGCTGGAGGAAAAAGGGCCAGGGGGCTACCCACCCCCATACTGTCCACATGCTACCTGTTGGCCCCATCAAACCAAGATTGAGAACCAGAGCCATAGAATGGATAACCCCCATTGCACAGCTGGAAAAACTGAGGCCCAGAGAGGAAGTCAAATTTGCTCCTGTCGGTTCAGGGTAGCTAGAACCAGAGACAGCAGGACCCGCTAGACATGCAGCAAGTAGAGACAGGAGCACTGGCCTCGGGTCCTGGCCTTGCTCAGTGTTTCAGAGAAAGATATTTCCCTTCTCTGAGCCTCAGTGTCTCCATCTATAAAATGGGGCTAGGTAACAAAAACATATTCATGTGAAGGCTGTTGTGGTGCACGAGTGAGAACCTGCTTGTGAGTTATGAAGCAAAATGCAAATGCATTTTTATTATTACAGCCCAAGTCTCTGAGTCCCATGACTTAAAATTCTTTGGCTGCCCTCCCATGCCTGGGATGGCGATAATAATCATCAAAGAAGATGCAGACATCTGCTTGTTCTACCCCGGTGACTCCAAAGTGAATGTGAGGCACTACGAGAGGGGTGGGTTTGGGGTACCCAGGGTGTGGAGTTAAGTATTGTGAACAGAGTGTCCCAAGTCCGGTCCCAATGTGGATTCCCTCACCTTTCTGCTATGCGGCCTCCAATTTGGAGTGAGAGCACAGGGATACTCCTGAGGCTGGCCTAGCCATCAGTTCCTATTTCTACTCGCTCTATTTCATTTCCGTGTTACTGATCACATCCAACATGCCAGAGATGGATGAGAGACCACCCAGAGCTTCAAGACACTCACAGGATCACACAGATACATCCAGGACCTTCTATTAGAGGGGCAGGGGGGACTTCCCAAACTGTTAGGACGGGTTATTTCTCAGGGAGTTGAACTAAGTGGTGATATATATATATATATATATATATATATATATATATATATAATTTTTTTTTGAGGCTTATATTTTTTTTACTTCTATAATGTTTGGAAAGGTTTGACAATAAGCATACATCCATCCAAAACAGGAACCCCCTCAAACCCTACCCCCATGTTGTCATTGAAAGATCCCGCTGGGGACGTGGTGGGAGGTAGAACTCTGGCAGCTGAGGGTTTTCTCTTCTCTTGTCCAAGGGCTTGGGGAATATGGAGCCGGAGGAAACACATGCTCGCTCATCTCTGTATCAGCA